AATTTTGCTGATTTTCCATTTATTTTGTCAATGAGTAATGGAATAGTTTTTAAAGCTAACTAAGTAATTAAATGTTTTCAAAATGAATATAACATCAAAGGGACATGATAAGCTAAATTCCCACAAAATAAAATCTAATTTTATTTCCCATTCATGTCCATTGCATCATATTTACATTTTATTAGCCCTTTTAAAAAAAACTCAGACAATATATTTCTGCAATCTGTCCATTAAATGTGGATATGGATTTAATCTTCTAAAAATAATAGCAGTTTTAGAAATTATTTGACATGAAACTGAACTATGAATAATATTAAGAAATATCACATTACCAAATATTATTAATCTCACTGAGAAAGATATTAAAATGAGCTCCACAGAAGTTTGAGCTGCTGTTTCAAAATTTACAGATGCGTTAATGAATTACAGTTCACATTTACTTTTGCAATTATCAGAGATAAAGCAACAAATTGCCCAATACCATTTTCTAGAAACTAGCTCACAGTGAACACTAATTGCCCAGCTCATTTGTGTTCTGCAAGAATTCACAGAATACATGCTGGCATGGTTTTGCCAATTTAATTATTTTTGTCATCTGACAATAATCATATTGACTTTAACAATGCTCAAATTTAAGCATTTAGCAATCATTTTAAATTCTGGAAATCGTGTGAAATATCATCCGACCTCTGTTTGAGAAATTAAATGCCCAGTATAGCACTTAAAACACAAGCTGTATTTCAAAACCAAAGAAATTGTGGATTTTGCTATCCTTTAAGACAGACTTGTTAAAATACAAAGGCAATGAATTGAATCTTCAGGGATTTAGCAAAAAAAAATAGGTGTTTGGTTTCAAATACTTGTAAGAGCACTTGGCATTGAATTATTTATTTGACTAGAAAGGATTTAAGAGTTGGAGGCCCTGGGATCTGGCCTACACCACCTATTCCACACCCACTCAGTCCCTTAGAACCTGTTCACTTACATCTGAACACTTGTAAGGTTAGATAAATAAAAGGAGACAGCTTTTATCTGTGTAAAGACACATTAGAGAACCTTACTTTCAAATGCAAATAAATGATACTCTCCTCAGAAAGGGCAGACACATGAGTGTGCCTGCCATTCAAGAAGTCCTTAGAGCTAAAGTGCATGTGGGTATCAGGAGTCTGGCTCCCTTCTTGTTTGCATGCATCTCACTAACACAGCCTTTCCTACAATAGTTCCCAATAATCCCAACAGCAGCTTAACTTGGACTGGAAAATCACCAGTCACATAAAAGCACAGCCTACTCAAAAAGCAATTCCACTGAGTTCTGAACTAAAACCATAAAGGTTTACATGCCCTCCTCTTCCCACTTCCAAAAAGCTCATTGGTACCACCCTAGGAACTCTGTGTCTGTATTCACAGCCAAGTCATCACCAGCTGCTACAAGGCCTTATTCTATATGTCCTAAATTATGGGACACTTCTAATACTGCACTTTTTCTTCTCCATATCTTAAGCTTCTCTTTCCTTTCAATCTGTAGCCACTCTGTATATTCTATAATATTATATGCATTAAAATCTCCTCTGATGTGACCTGGCATTATTTTCTATAACTAATGGAAAATTAGCAGGCAATGATACCAGCCCTACTGGCATGAGTCTATTGACTTCTGAACTCCAGATACTCCGTTCTCTTTTACATAGTTGCTTCCAGTTCACTCATGTTCTTTTACTCTCAACTTTTTTGGGGGGCTCATTACTACCATATAGATCATAAAGCTTTGGTGTTCTCAACTGATCAGGAATCTGTACACACACATACACACACACACACACACACATGAATTTATTATATGTATGTGTATATATTATATATATGTATATTAGCATTCCCATTAAAACATTTGCTTTTGTAACACACTTTTCTTGTGAAAAAAGTGTGTGCAACTACTCATTAATTTTACACAACAATAGTGTATGTGTTTAGTATAAGTATAAAAAATGCATTGTATAATTCTATTTGGTGTTTGAAAAAAATCAATAACCACATAATGAACATTGTTGCAACAGTACTTTCTTCATGTCATTAAAATTGACTTCTGAAAAAACATCCACATCTCTTCAGCTATCTAAAGTTAAACATCTCCAACAATATCCTACCTTACAAGACTTTAAATTAACAATGACACCTGTGTTTGCTGCCTGCATTTCATATGTGCAGAAAATATTAATTACACATATGACTCCTCACTATACCTTAGGTCTTTCAGTCAAAAGCAGGTAATTATATTGTGAGCCTTACAGCTATGCAAATCTTTTCACAACTCCTTCTGCTAGTAATATGGAAAATATATGTTAGGGTTTGGCAATATACTTGTACTAACTCTTAAACCAAATAAATTTATATATCCTCTTTTATTTACCCCAGTTTAACTTGGAAACAAAATACATTAGGGTAATTTTCCCCATATTCTAAACATATTGAAGTAATAACTTTAAGTAAGAGACAAGAACAACACATAGTTTGTGTCAAGAAGCAATGCAATGTTGTATCTACAGTCTGTTTTTTGCATTAACTATGAAACATTAGATTTGACGTATCCAAAAATAAATGTTTTATGCAATTTTGCCATCGTTATATGATTCTTGTATGGTTTTTTGCTTAGTTTTTACTTGTTTAATTTTATAATGTCCACTAAAAAGAAAATGATTTATTGAATTAAATTTCTAGAGAAATATGTGTAGAAAATATGTTTCATTTGAAGAACACTCCCTTATATGTCTCTCTCTCTTTCTCTTTCCCTTATTCTCTTGTTCTATCCTCCATTATTATCTCTCTCTCTTTTTTTGGTGCTTCCTTCAATGTTACAAATGCATCATCTATTTTTTGTTTTGGAAAGTGAAAGCCAAGCTTACCATTGATATAGCCATATAATTTTAGCAAAGATAAGAAAGCTCTTGGGATTTTTTTCTTTGTTTGCTTATTTATTTATTTTGTGTCATTCCTGAGGCTTGAACACAGAGGCAAAGTGTTGTCTGTGAGCTCTTTTGCTCAAGCCTAACGCTCTACCATTTGTGCCACAGCTCTATATGATCCAGTTATTTCATATTTCATTAGAGATAGTCTTATAAATGTTTTTGCCAGAACTGGCTTTGAACCATTATTTTCAGATCCCTGACTCATGAATAGCTAGTATTAGAGGTATGAGCACCAACACCTGGTAGAGGATCATGTTTTAAGGCCATCCAATGCAAAACCTTTAGCAAGGCCCCATCTCAAAACACAATGTGTGTGTGTTGGGGTACATATATCATTGAACTACATGGACAGCACAGGTAAGACATCAGATCTTCTCTGTAAAACAAAAACAAACAAACAAACGAACAAAAAAGCTAAAGCCTAAAAAGGGCTGAGGGCATTGTTCATGAGGTAGAGCTCCTGGTTAGATATGTGAATCATTGAATTCAAACTGAAGTACTGATGAAAAAGGAGGGAAAGAGGAGGAAGGGGGTACTAACAACAACAGATGCTGGAGGGGATGTGGACAGAAGGGAACCCTACTGCATTGTTGGTGGGAGTGTAAACTTGTTCAACCACTTTGGAAAGCAGTATGGAGGTTCCTCAAAAGACTCCACATAGAGCTCCCCTATGACCCAGCAATCCCACTTTTGGGCATTTACCCAAATGTTTACAAACAAGACCATACTAAAGCTACCAGCACAACTATGTTTATTGCAGCATTATTTACCATAGCTAAGATATGGAACCAACCCAGATGCCCCTCAGTAGATGAATGGATCAAGAAAATGTGGTATTATATATACAATGGAATTCTATGCCTCCATCAGAAAGAATGACATTGCCCCAATTTGTTAGGAAATGGAAATACTTGAAAAATTATATTAAGTGAAGTAAGCCAGGCCCAAAGAAACATAGGTCTCATGGTTTCCCTTATTTGCAATGAAACTAATATATGTCTGAGACAAGCAGAAAAAGTCAGATAAGTTGATGTTAGACCAAATGAACCCCAAGATAAGGACTTAAGTGGTTTTTCTTTCTTGCTATTGTTTCTAACATATGTATAAGGTGATTTTTTTTGTTACTTTGTATGTCCCTCCCCCACGGTATAACCCCTGTTTTCACTGTATTTGATGTTGGTATAATTTGGGGAAGAGAAAGAAAAAAAACAAATTGTTTAAATAGGGATACAGATGGACCCATTGCAACAATGAGATGTACAAGATGCTATGTCGAAAAAATGAACTTTACAACTTTGACTGAGGAATAGGGGAGATGGGAGGGCAGGGTTGGTAAGGGGAAACAAAGGAGGAGGGAACAATGCTTGATAAGAAATGTACTCATTACCTTGCTCATGTAATCGTAACCCCTCTGCAGGGCATTTTCACAATAGAAAAAACTTATTAATAATAAAAACATGAAAAAATAAAAATAAATAAATAAAGAGAGTAAACAAGAATTGAAAAGGAGGAAGAGGATGAAAAATTGGGGGAAGAAGAGGGAAGTGGAGAGGTAAAGGCAGAGGAGTGGGAGGGGGAGGACGACAGTGGTTTTCAGAGTACATTTTACACATCTCTTAAGACCGTGAGTGAAAATACTTTTCAAACCAGAACTGTGTAAGGATATTTTGCCCACTTTGAGCCTAATGAATACTTTTTTGTTATATACATTGAATATATTTTCAATAGGCTAAGATTTATCAAAAGGTAAGAAGGCAAAGCTATATCCACGAAGGAAATTGTATTACCCTGCAATCAACTTGTAATTTGAGAGTACTTCCATTAGACATGAAACACCTAACCCAGTTATCAAGTGAAACATTCACATCAAATGATGTACAGTCTCATGTTAAATGCTGTCAGAACCAAAAATAAACAGAAATGCAAGATATGTTTTTTATGGTAATTTCAATTAGTGGTTCAAGCCAAAACAACAAAACACATTTCAGGGTTAGGAAAGAAAAGAAGGAGGCACTGTCAGGATGAATCCATTCCTACCTTGATGGCAGTGGATGCTATCTGTATGTGGTGAAGCCTCCGCAGGGTGCTGTCCCGGTCAATGAAATAGGAGGCCGCTAGCTGGTGGAGAGTCTCCAGAGTAACGGAGGAGCTGTTGGCGCTGGAATCAGGCCCTTCAGATCGCCTGCTCAGCTTCCGCTTGTCCACAAAAATTGTGAGTGACTCCTCTCCTAGGAGATAATATCATCAATTACCCATCTTAACATAAAACTAGCTTTTCAATTATTTAGGTGGAGATGTCTAAAATATGGTGAAATAAACCAAGTAGTGGCACATATAATGCTGTGGGATAGTATGTTTTGTTACAATTTTTTTTACTTAATTCGAAAAGAAAAGTTTCATTCACTGAAGAATGTGAAAAAAATAACATATGGAAATGGTTGTTACACACACACACAAACACACACACATATCTATTAAATTTTGATATGAATGGAGACAAAAGAACTAATTTTCAAGAAAAATGTTATGTCAGTATGGAACAGAGTTAGCTAAGGCAATCATGAGTTAAATATTCATAATACTAAATTCTTGCTATATACGTCATAAAAATAAATGAGACAAATTGAGAAATCTACAACAAAGAACTATGATAATAATGGAAATAAAGAATAAAAACCCTCAGTAGATGAATGGATCAAGAAAATGTGGTATATATACACAATGGAATTCTATGCCTCCATCAGAAAGAATGACATTGCCCTATTTGTTAGGAAATGGAAATACTTGGAAAAAATTATATTAAGTGAAGTAAGCCAGGCCCAAAGAAACACAGTTCCTATAGTTTCCCTTATTTGCAATAACTAGTATATGTCTAAGACAAGCAGAAATGGTCAGATAAGTTGATATTAAACGAAATAAACCCCAAGTTAAGGACTCAAATTTTTTTCTTGCTATTGTTTCTAACATAGTTATAAGATGATTTCTTTGTTGCTTTGTATGTCCCTCCCCCACGGTATGACCCCTGTTTTCACTGTATTTGATGCTGGTATAATTTGTGGAGGGGAAGGGGAAAAACAAATTGTTTAAATAGGGATACAGGTGGAGCCATTGCACCAATGAGATGTATAAGACGTTATGTCGAAAATGAACTTTACACCTTTGGTAGGGGGGAGGATGATGAGGGGGGAGAGATGGGAAGGGATGAAAAAAAAGAAAATAATAAAAGCCAATGTTTATGGGATGCTCACTATAAAAAACACATCAAATCATTTTTAAAGGTAGAAATTACAAATTTATTACCAAGTAGCTCTTTATAGAATAATTAAATTAAAAAATACCTACCAAATATTGTCAAACTCATAGAGAAAAATCACAAAAAAGAAGAGTATATAATAAAGCAAAACAAATTTAAAACATAAACTGTCTTGAAAACGTTTTGTAAAGAACTTTAGGCATCAAAGAATACACTGTCTCCCTCTCTCTCTCTCTCACACACACACACGCACACACACACGCACACACACATGCACACACGCACACACACTGTACAGCACAGAACAATACAGGGTGATTCAGGCAAAACACTCAGAGGAAATTTTGACAGAAGAATTCTGCCATTTTTTTAAGGATCCAACCATTACAAACTCTTGAAAATGTCTCCAGAACATACAAAAGAAAGAAATATTCCAACTTAATCTTTATTAACTGAGTGTAAAATCTGCATAATATTTTAATATTACACATGTACACAATAGACAATATGAAATTTGTTAATACCAAGGAGAACCCAATAGTAAATTTATTAAATGTGCCTCATAATTTAACAGAATAACTCCAGTAGTTCAAATGTGTTTCAGTGTTAGAAAGCCATTAATATATTTCACATATAGTATATCTAGCATAAAAATCATCATCACATTAATGATTAAAAAATAAAATAAAATAAAATTGATAAGATAGGTAATTTTATCTATTCCTAAGTAATTAGGGGAGAATAAATTAGGACTCATGGTATAATTTCTTACAAGTATAAAATAAATGATACTCAGGTATATCCATGATCTTATCTTTTCAGAAAGTCAGAAGACATTATAATTAAAATAAGAACCAGAAACACCATAATTGCTATCCATATTTAACATAATAAGTATATCAAAAGGAAAACATAAAATCTAATACTAATTAGAGTAATATTATAAATGTAAACACTGAACAGATAAACAATCAATGGAAAAACTGTACTTAGCAGAATTTGAGTATAACAGAACAATGAAAATATTAATAATAAAGAAGATTAAAACATAACTAAGTACAAACCATTTGAATGATAACTAATCATAAACAATAATAAACATATTCTATATAAAACGATAATTGTAAAACTAATTTGAGAAATGTTTTAAAATCAACCTGAAAATTGCCAAAAATAGATTGAACTAGATTGCATATTTGAATATACCATCTGTATTGGATTTCTGTTTACTGGGTTGATGTATAAAGATAATATAAAGTGATTAAAGGAATTAAAGGTTGATTATTGTTTCCTATATCTAGGTATGTAAATTATAAATGTTAAATACAAAAGAATAGCCTCATCTTTGGAAAGATGAACACTTTCCTAAGTATAAGAAAGTGTGAGAACATCTTACTACATCTGAATACATATTGTAAGTCTATACAAATTAAAGCTCTATAGAATTAATACATGAAAAGGTAGACACATAAAAATAAAATAACAAAAGTTAAATATAAAATAAGGTTGGGATATTAATTCACTGGACAACATTAACATTTATACAGATTGATACGTAAACAATAACTTGAAAAATAGTATGACTTATACAAAATAAATGCTGAATACCTTAGAAACATGAATATTTACTACATTAGGAAATAGATGTAACAGAGTTTATTTCCTTAGCCTTCTCAGAGTTAATCCGTCCTAAATTCAAGGAAAGAACTATGATTCAAGAGATAAGCAAAGTGATACCAAAAGAGTGCACAGAAAATGAGATTTTTTTTAAAAAAAAATTGTCCTTATAAATTTGTAGACAATCTAAGCCTTAAAATACATTAATATATTACTATGATACAACAGTTTTCTAAAAAACAAAATTATGCCCCCCCCAAGGAGAGCTATTGACAAGCTAGATACAAACGATTTTCATATATTTCTAGTGTTATTGCAAAATAATCTAAAACAGATATATAAGCAAATTTAATATCACTATTCAATAATCAGCTGAGTAATTGTTCATTTAAGATGTTATCTTTTAATTTTGAGAAAATAACACGGCAACTCCACAAGGTAACTCCAGTACCTAGAGGCTTAGAAAAAAAGGATGAGTTCAAAGCCATCCTGGGCTAAATACTGAGTTTAGGGAAAAATAGCTACAAAACAAGTACATCTATTGTGGAGAAAAACCTTTGGAAACAACACAAATACCTAGTAATGAGAATAAAGAACATTCTACTTATATGGGAGGGCACGGTATAGCTATAAGAAAGAAGAGGAGATAATTCATGCATTGAAAGGATACAAGAAGGGGGGGAGCAAAAATATGTCACAAAAGTGACATTTTGTAAGAAAGGAAAAGGATAGTTATATACTAATGTGTGTCTATGTGTGTATGTGTGTGTGTCTCAAAAGAAAAAGCACCAAAGTTGGAAGGTTTAAAAATTTTTATATAAACATTCACCTGTAAGGAAAGAAGGGAAATGTGATAGAAGAGTTTTGGAATAAAGGCTGCTTTCATTAGATCTTATTATGGTCCTGTGGAACATTTTAAGAAATTAATTCATCTATCTCTAAAATAAGCACACATCGCTAGCAAAAATTCAACTACAAAAGATTAAATGATGGAAATTCAATACCAAGTTCATAAAATAGTTATTGTTATTGATTTAAGAAAAGGTATAGAATGTAAATCAATTATGAACATATATTCTAAGAAAAAATAAAAGTGGAGTCAATGAGCTTCATTTTGCAGTCAGTATCAGTAAAGAATATATAATTTACATAGTTTGTGGTTACAAATATGAATGTGGACATTCTTTGTAATATTTTTCAACTTGGGGTATGTTTAAAAAATCATTAAGAAAGTTTCAACAGGGAATGGTTCTACTCTCCTCTTATATTGGTCCATGCTTCCAACATCCTAATTCTTCATATGATTTTTCTTAAGTGATTGGAATTTCCATGACCTGTGGAATGGCTCAAGTGAAATTCTAGATGATTCAGCAGTTCCAAGAAGATCCTATTGAGGTGGGGAGGGGGGTCCGAAGTCGGAGAGAAATCCCCATTAAAACAATGTAACAGTTTGCAACTAGAGCCCTGATGCATATATAAGGTGTCTGCAGATGCCTGTAATGGGAAAGAAGTTTATGTTTTTGAAAAAGACATAAGTAAAATGTAATATTTCTTTTACATAGTAAAATATTAAATTCAAAACACTCGCATAGTTGACTAAGTGTGCATTAGTTTTGCCTTCTGGAGATTCAAGAAGCCCCTCTAATTACATGAAGACATTCATTTTAAATTAGATCTTCCTTTTAATAATAGTGATTTTCTCATTACTACAAATATGAAAATATTAATTAAGAAACTTCGTGTCACGGAGAAGAAAAGATAATTAAACCAATAGAGGAGATTCTTTCAAATGATTATGAAGTCTTAGAAGAAAAAGAAATATAAAAATAGTTATTAGTATTTAGATATAAATGTTCCAAGTTTTACTGGGAAACAAATTTAGTTTTTGTTTTGTTCTGTTTTGTTTTGTTTTGTCTTGAACTCTGGGCCTGGGCGCTGTCTCTCAGCTCTTCAACTCAAGGCAAGTGCTCTACCGCTTGAGCCACAGCACCACTTCCGGTTTTCTAGTTGTTTATTGGAGATAAGAGGCTCACGGACTTTCCTGCCCGGGCTGGCTTTGAACCGGGATCCTCAGATCTCAGCCTCTTGAGTAGCTAGGATTACAAGCGTGAGCTACCGGCGCCCGGCCAAATTTAGTTTCTAATGCTAACTTCAATTTAGTAATTAAATAAACTTGAATCAAAATTTTAAGATTTGGTTTGCTCATGTGGAATGAGCATAGTAAGTCCCTTAAAAATGTATGTGTGAAGGGTTTAAAATTAAAACAGTAAGAACTCAAAAGCTGTTAACATGCAATTCTTTTCTTTCACTCACAATTTTTTAGAACTGAGTAAATCAATGCTTTGCATACTTATATAT